AAACGCTCTGATTGGCTGACTGTGTTTATATCAGAGGACAGAGACATGGCTTACCTGCAAAATTTGTTTTCTCTGCAATGAGGTGTTTTGATACTTTGCAAGTTCTGTTAGTGTAATATGTCTTCACAGATTCAGTGAAACATCTAGTTATAATTATTATAACTAGATCACTGAATTTGAATAAACTCAAAATTAAAAAGTTGGAACTGCAAATGTTTGTTGAAATGTGGATAAGACACTTTTATACACCAGTAATATTTTCAAGGATTTATTTTATGTTTAGTCATTTGTTTGGTGCAGTGTGTTTTACTGACACAAGGTTATTTTACTGCAATCTTCCAGCTGYTGAAAGTTGGTAGCTTTGAAGAGCACTTTATACTCCCGTCYTTYGCAAAGATGTGGTCAGTAACTGTTAAGAAGGTAAGWCAAGCAGAATATTCACCTGGAAATGAACTTTAAGTACAATATCGATTCTCCTTACCATTGAAAATGAAAAACTGCAACTGGTTTYAAAATTTRCAGGACTCGTTTACAGCGAGTGAGAGTGAGAAATGCTCAGGCATAGAGAACACCACAGTGCAATCTCCAGATGTTGAAATGAAAGATGTCACACAATCAACACAACTGGTCACACCATCTTCATCAACATCTCATGAAGGTGGTGCTTCAATGAAAGCTGATGTCACAGAGTCCACACAACCTGACAGACCATCTACAACTACAGTAACCAAAGAAAAAGAATCTTCTCAAACAAAAATCAAAGAAAAATCACCAATCMTGCCATCAGAACAACTAAATGAAGATGGAGTGTCTGATGAAATGCAGTTTGAGCCCACAGAATCAACTGTTGCGGCCACACTTGTAAAAGAACACATCTATAAAGTTCTKTCATCTCCATGGCTTGACACAGATGGTCAAATTGACAACAAGGTGTTCATATCTCTACTTCATGCKGTGTTGTCRGCAATTGTAAATAATCCTGGAATAACTGAGGTTAGATTTAACAAAGTGTGCTGGTTATTTTGGAGTAATATTGTTATTTTAATGATATTTTTCTGTACTGCAGTCTAGTTTATGTAAAAAGTTTATGAAAGCAGTTCGACCTGTTCCACTAAGTCATGTATTAGAGGTGAGATTTGTTTTTTTACAGAAGTACATGTTTTTGGATAACATCACAACATAAAAAAGCAGCACAGCACAACATAAAACACATTAAACTCTGTATTATTAGTTACCACAGAAAAGATATCACAACTTAAAATACAATGTCGTGGTAAACAGTGTCAATTAGACATTATCAAATTCATTAATAATTCATAAGGTAAACACAATGGAAAATCATTGCTGTGACCGCATCTTTATATGAGCAAGAGATTTGTCCTGATTTGCATACRACTTTAACTTCGATTTTCTCTTACAAATGATATTTTATCCTGAWKTTTTTTTCGAAATATGCTTTACCTTTAGTTGGAATTTGATAAGCAATATAAAATATTCGCRTCCRACCTTTATGKGCTAWAAAACTGCTCGCTTGCAGCTCGCAGTTTTWAATGCCCATAAAGGTCTCCCGCTCATATTTTATATATTACATAATAATGCTAAGGAGACATTCATTTAGTAGCTCATGGGGGCCAGTCTGGCAAACTTTTATACATGTATCATAATATAGTTGTTTTTCTTTCAGTATCTCATTGAAGTAGGATGCATCACTAAACATGGAATGACAGCAACAAAACCTTCCCTTTTTTCATCAGGTATTAGTCATTCCGAGGGGGCAGGGGCGCTGTTTAAGGCGCAATTGGCAGCCACGCGGCTTACAATCATGAGGGGTTAGCAATTAGTATGGGTTAGTAGTAAGGCCTAGCCACACACACCGGGAATCATTCCCTACTCTTATGCGAACAGTCGTGTGGGTTCTTTAACGTCCCTCTAATACAGGTTAGTGAGTGAAGTGTAGAGAGACGGGACCTCCGATTTTATGTCGTTATCCGAGAGGACGAGAAGATCTTACCATTTGCAGATGGAGAAAGACAAAGGCAGCAACTTCTCCTCAATTATTTTAAGACCCTGAGTGTTGGTCCGGCCGGGGTTTGAACCTGCGACCTCCCGCACTAAAGTCCGATGCTCTACCTACTGAGCTAACCGGTCGGCGGTTGGGTGCAGGATATTAGACTGCCTTAYAAAATGTTGACTATTGAAGTTGAGAGACATTTTTCTTCTTTTTTTCAGATGTTACAGAAGTGTTCTATTTCATACCAGTCCCTGACTGCATTGTGACACTTGCAAAACTCACACACAATGTGACATGACACTRGATTGTGTGACTGTGTATTGTGTGACATTTGTAGTCCTTCAGTAATTTTTGAGTCAAATAACTAAAATGGATTTTATCCATGCTTGGAATACACCCAGGAATTCTATTTAATATAAATATTAAGAAAATGTTTTCATTAAAGAAAGAAAGCATTATTGAACTTGAAAGTATAGTTTCTTTCATTAACAAACGTCTTTTTTGTAAAGTTTATATAATATTTTATTATAATAATTATAAATTACAATGAACATTTACAAGAAGAACTTGAAGAGATGCTCTTCTCCACCACAATAGCGTAGCCTATGTTACTTTTCCATTGCAGTTTCATACTAGCATCACAAGACTTCTTACMACACCCTAGACGGAAATAAAACTGCTCAAACTTTTATCCCCTCAGAGGGTGGGTGATTTCAGATTTTGTCACCACAGGGATCCCAAATGGTTTAGATAATTGATTGATTGTTGAATTATAGGTCTGATTTGGTSAGGTTGTTATACATCAATGGTTTTGATATTGTCTGATAATCTTGCTTCTTTTGGACCAACAAGAACGTCACCAATAATCCAAGATGGATGGCCATCAAGCTTTTCTAACTCTTGACAATACTCTTTTGCCTTCTCACGTGGTAGACTAACCAACAAACCTCCTATTAAAGTAAACAAACAGAGTTTTGACAATSCTGGAAAAATTGATGTTTGTTTGCAAATATAAGAATGACAAACACAAGGTTTGTGCTTTCATTCCGTCACAAAATTCTAAGGCATTTCAAATGCTTTTAAGCTAAAAAATTCAATCTTCAAAGGACAATATTTTAATCGTTTTTTGTTGTTTTTTTGACAACTTTTTTTTAAATACACTTATTTCAATGAAAAAGTAATAAAAAACATATAGTTTGAATAAGATTCAAGGTATCAAAGTACTTTTTCAATTTTTAAGGGCTTGTCAAGTGGTCTTTTCAATTCCAGGCCTCCTTTTAAAAATGGCAAAGAGGGGCACAAAGCCTGCACCTTTTTTGCAGGAGCTAAATTGAGAGCAAATTATCAGTACTCTAATCTAGTTTCTTCTCATTTTATTTCTCATTTTTATTTTATTTTATTTCTCATTTTATTTCTCATTTTCTATAATTTTAATTACCCTGTCACTTATTACCTGATGTTTCTGCAGAATATCCATCCAAAAGTTTAAAATTGATTCCACAGGCTTTGTAAACAGCAACCATATTTGCAAAAATCGGCAAAGTGTGAATAACAAATGAGACTTCTTTATCCTGAATCTTGGCCAGGTTATCCGCATGACCYAAGATACCAAATCCAGTAACATCAGTTGCGCCGTGAGCGCCGTATTTATGCATCAGAAAAGCAGCRTTTTTGTTTAGTCTGGCCATGGATTGCATWGACTGGTTGTATGCAGTCTCTACTTCTTCTTTTGTGATGATATCTTTGACATTTTGCCACCATTTGCATGAGGGCTAGAATGATATAAAATACTTGTGTTAGTACTAAATTCAAGTTGATTAAAGGTCACTGATCATTGGTCTTTTGAATTTCAAGAGAATGATGAAAACCACCAAAGATATGCACTATTTTCCAACAACAGAATGTGAGAATAAACAAACTTCAAGTTATATGATCCAGCCTAAAAATTAAAGTCACATCTACAAAATGTGTGTTGTTGAATTGATGCTAAAAAAAAAGCAGACAGGCCTGTTTAAAGGTTATTCACGAAACTGTAATTTTGCATCTAAACAAACGGTTGATCACCAATAGCAGTTACAGAGAATGATTCATCTATTTTCACTGCAGGCTGTCGATTCCACAGCAATGGAAAAATAATAGGTCCATACAAACTATATCCTGCTCTATATCACACTAGATAGAGTACCAAAGTGTGACGTCACAAAAATGTATTTTTTTTTCGATTTTTTCGGATTCATTTAAATATCTCATAGGGCATGGTAAAAAGTAGCTTTCTGCCAAATTTGAGTGTCCAAGTGCCATTAATAGAGGAGATATGAGCAATTTTATGGTTGGATAACCACATACAAACGCTTGTAAATTTGCTCTGGTTATTACAAACGCTTGTAAATTTGCTCTGGTTCATAAATTTAGTGTTTGTATGTGGTCAACTGACCATAAAATCACTCGTATCTCCGCTATTAATGGCACTAGAACACAAAAAATTTGGCAAGAATGCATTGAAAATGATGCACTTGCAGAATATGGAGGCCAAGTTTGAAAAATAAGAAAATTTTGTTTTGTGATAATAGGTACTCTATCATACAGGATATGATAACATGTAAAACATCCTTACATCATCCATCCACTGATGAACATTGACTGCAATCTGTGTACCAAGAGGTTTGGTAAGGACTAAAACATCACCTGCAACTGATTGGCCAGGCCTGCAAAGAAATAAACAGGGGGGCCATTATATTGTCAGACTTAGATAACCCTTGCCAAAGCCACCCCACAAGCTATATATTGTTAATTTTAATTTAATTTATTAATTTATTAGCTTTGCTCCTAGTATGGGCAGGGACACCGCAACAGCGTGAGCCAATTACTGCGGGCCCTGTACTCTCACACTCACTACCTCTACATTAAGTATTTTAGCACACAACACTCCTCACATGTTGATTTTTGCTGAGGGAGGAAAACCGGAGGACCTGGAGAAAAACCCTCATGGCAAGGGAGAGAACAACACAACAAACAAACTCAAACTCACATATGGTCCGTGCCCGGGAATTGAACCCGGACCACAGCGGTGAGAGGCTAGTAGCTTAACCCTTGGGCCTTGCCAAAACCACCCCACAAGCTAAGGGCTCGTGTGTCTGACAGCTACAATAGGCCAGTTGGTACACAAAGCATTGATCCACATGATCAACTCTGAATAGCTCAGGTGCAACTGCTAATTACATTTACATCTACATCTACGTTTATTATCACCAACACTTTCGCATCAAGCTGAAATACATTTACAAATATTTATATCAAAATTAATCTAAAATATCAAAACATGTTTGAATAACTGTTTCCACCAGCATCACATTAAAGAGACTATAACAGGAACATGTGGGGGTGGGTGTTGCATTATTACAACTAAATGACCATTGAACAAAATAATTTCCATTTGTTCTGTTTATAAACTTAATAATACAAAAAAATAACTTACTTACATAATAATCTCATCCTGGGCAACGATTCCAGTAGCAACACCGCCTATGATATACCATGGGTTDAGTACTGTCTGACCACCATTGACTGTCGTACCAGCTTCATTAGCCAGGTCATTGAATCCTTTAATAACCAATGGAGTCACAACTTCTCTCTCTTTCAACGTCATTTGATTRCTGACACCAAGCAGCATTAGCATGTTGTCGCAAACAGAAACCCCCATAGCGTACAAATCACTCAGTACATTCGCACAAGCTATCTTCCCTTGCATGTAAGGGTCATCSACCAAAGGGTAGAAGAAATCTGTGGTTTGCACTAAGCTAATGCCTGGGTGTCGTGTCGGCAGAACGCAACTATCGAGTCCAATTCCTATCTTTCCTTCGCCGTGTTGGACGCCTAGTCCCTCTAAGAGTTTGAGCAGTTCCTCTTGAGGGACTTTACAMCCTCATCCTTTAAGTTTGGTAAAATTTATCAAACGAAAGTCTTCATTAAGTCCATGTTCTTGTGGGATGAACGGACGGAGTTCYCCTTCTCTTTCAGCCGCCATCTTGGACAACATGTGACTTGCGACAATAATTTATCTAGGGTAGGGTGAAATGATTAAACATCAAAATTTTTGAAGAAAAAATTTAGAGTTTTTATGATAGAAATTGTGAACCTTTAATTTAAAAGCGATTTCGAAATAGTTTTATAGCATTTCAAATGATTTGATATCTTTAGTAATAATTTTTCGAAAGTAAAGCTTTTCAATTAAAACTACCCTCCCCTCCCTAATCAGTTAGATACCTCTATCGGCCCAGTCTCTAAACAAACCAAAACAGTCAGGCCGCAAAACAGTGAAGATCTGAAAGATGGCGGAATTTTCAGTGATGGATTCTATTCTCTATTACGGTCTGTTCTTGGGMGGCGTGTTTCAGTTGATATGTATTCTGGCTATAGTTTTCATTCCTCAAAAAACTGTAGACGAATATGAGTATATGGATGGGAACGYTTCTACCAAAGGACAGTCACACTCCTCAAACATCCAAACAACAACGACAGTTGTGCACAGAGGCAAAACAGACAAGAGGCGAAAGAAATGAAAATAGCTGTGGAATTATCATCAACAAGGATATATTTTGTGTTTTATATCTTGGGTAAAATGACGATAGGAGTGTTTCGACCATCGCACTCATCGAAGAAGCGAATTTTACGACCTTCAATTATTGTAACGTGTGCAAGGAGAGCTAACAGAGTATTCAAAGACTTGGAATAACATTTGAACAGCAATTAGTTTTAGCATGTTTTGAAAGTCTGGAATTCTAGTTTGTTAAAATGCAGACATCTTATCATTCGCGATAAACTTGGCACAGTCTATATTGTCTGTACCGTCCCTACGATAATGAAAACCCAATCAAACTTTAATTATTCATGACTTGACGTCTAATCGGCGTTTGTGAATTCCATCTGAATTCTATTATCTATCAAAGAAGACATAGAACATAGTTGCTGAATGTTTCATGCAAGCAATATATTGTTCAAAAGAAATACTATCTAATACTTAGTGTTTTTTTTTTTCACTTGTTCAGTCTCTCAGCACGTTTTCATTCACAAAGTGCTTGCACTCAATCCGTGAAATTGTACAAAATATGTACTAGCTAATAGTTCTTATTTTGTGACTAATAGTACAAGCACTGGGGTAGAACACATGGCTTTAATCAGGCCAAGAATGTTGCAAATTGAAAGCACATGGACCATATACAATCCTGTAAAATATTCTGCATTATTCAATAGACCAATCCCGCATTCGCTTGGATGAACACAAACAATCACTTCATTTCGAGGCTGGAGTTTTCGACAAAAGATAAAACTCCAGCCTCGAAATGAAGCCATTGTTCCTTGTTCATCCAAGCGAATGCTGGATTGGTCTATTGATCAATTAAACAAAATGAAAAAGTAATAAATATCCCTGGTGTGTTCATGTTCATGTATTTAGTTCATAATAAAACCATATTCGGAGCAACAAAATTAGTCACTATTTCACAAATTAAGTGCATGATTGTCGTTCATAATTACCTGCACTATTCTGAAAGGTAACCACCACTAATGTCAAATAGAGACATAACCAGTAAGCATGCAAATTACAATAAAAACCTTCACGCCTACACACAATAAATTATTCACAGACAACTATCGTTCGTGCTCACTGGTTCATCTCACTCCAGTGTGGACTGTGAGTTATAGAATTACAGTGATTTCTAAGTGAGATCTAAAGTGAAAGTAAACATTTCACCAGTTTTGTTATTTTTTATCTATTCTATTGGGATGTCATTTGCACTGTATTACGAGTGAAGTCAAACAACCCGTGAAATATATATACACTGATACCTAAGTAAACTC